AAAAAAAAAAAGGTTAAAAAGCAAAAAGAAGTAGAAAGCAAAAAGAAAACAAAGAAAAAAAGAGATGGGTTCGACTATCTCGATATGGCTGTCAACCGCCGCCTATTCACAGATGCTATCCCACTACTGTCAAACGCGGGAGCTTTTGCCTGCTGTGTTTCCACCCTGGGCCGGTACGCTCCTCTCTAACTAACCTGGTGACTCAAGACTCCTCTCAAACCACCATATTGACGCCCGACTTAGCGTGGGCACCCGATCGACATAGCACGACGACCAAACCAACAGGAATCCCCCACATCTCAAGCCATTCACCACCTCTAGCCTCCAAGTCACTGGATCACAGGCGCACGCCACAACGCCCGGCTGGTTACGTGTGTGAGACATTAATGTATTTAAACAGAATTTGCCTCGCTTTGAACATTGATCACGCGTTCAAATACAAACGTGGTCTTGTGTTTTTATGCAAATTTCTCCAAATACGATATGGTTCAGGTTTTCAATGACTTCAATGAGCTATAAAACGATATAATACAAAATTAACCCGTAAAAATCTGGTGAGATTAGAAAGAAAGTATATGTAGCGTAAAGATTTAGACAAACATTTTACATTTACGGTTACTAGACCGAAAACCGACTATCGAAAGCAATTGGCAAAATTCGCCCCGATCGAAAAATATTAATAAAATAATTCACAAATGAGTCAAGAATTTTTTATCAAATTAAGTGTTTCATAAAATATATTGCATAATGACAATGATATATGCAACACAATTTAACCAAAACAGTTCATGGGTTAGTAGAGAATATTTAATTTTAAATCGCTTGGGGTTCCTCTGGTAAAATCTGAAAGAGGAGAGACTGTTAATGTTCCACAGGTAACCCAAAGACATAAATTTTTCCCACATGCCAACAGGCCAACAGGCAGTCAAGCACAGGCAGCTCAAGCAATTTATTTGTGTTATGTATGCTAGCATTTACAGTACGCAGATACGCCGATGATGCAATATCGTTGTCTGCGCGTACGAAAAACAACCCCCCCCGGAATTCAGCTCTACTCTAGGCAACATGTTCCACATTTTCATTAAGTTTAAACACTAGAGACATGCTTCAATCAGCTGACAAATTAACACTGAAGGCTTAGGATTAGCCTAATCCGTCCGATCAAAGCCGGCAGAAGTTGGCTGATGATTGCTCGTGACAGGCTGCCTTAACCATTTCAGGCCGGGACAGCATTTTCAATTCTTGCCAAAGCTTAAACGAGTGACACGGCAATATTTGAGAAGATATTTTGTGAGAAAAAGTAAATTTCTTCAAGTTTTCATGTCCTTGGTGTCCACACAAATTTAGTGCATCATGACCTTCGTGTTATTTTAAAAATCTTTCCAAAGCCTTTTTAATCACTCAATCGGCGCTAACCAAACAAAAATAACTGCTATGTCAACTATACGTATCATGCTAAACACTTCGGTGAAGGCATAATGATATTCTAGTCAGCTTAGAATCAGGCCAGACTTTATTTATACAAGCAGAAAGCCCAATAACTGTCTCTCTTGTGTTAAAAGAGCAGGATTAGCTCCGTTCATTGGCTGATTGGCTTTGTATGCAAAGGCACGGTCTTTAGATTTCTGAGGAGTTAGGTCTTAACTTGTTGACTTAGGAATAAAACTTCAAAGTATGCTAAATCGGAAATCACTCAGTTTTGCATGTCTTTGACAAGAACTAAGTTCATTAGTAGAGAGTGAAGTGCTCGTGGTCCAGGCAGTTGATGCTTCAAAGTTTGTTTAATTTCAATCCAAGATGCTGGAGCCCAGGATAACTATAACGAAAAGAGAACGCAGTGAAACAAACAGCGGAGATCAAAGGTTACAGCAACGGTGGGAGAGAAACATGCTGTCTGTAAGACAAAGTCGCAACAGCTTTCCTTCTTCAAGGCGAAAACTACCACCTTTGGACGGTCGGTACAAGCACCATGACAACGAGCTCAACTCCAACGACAGACGATTCGATAAAAGCGGTGCACTTCGTGAGATTGCAAGTCTTCCAAAAAAGAACAGGGACAAGGCAATTGATACCAGCGAAGTAACTAACAGTAATTCTGACGGGTCTGAAACAAATTTCCCAAAAGTTGCTCGAACTATTCAAATGGCATCAACATGGCTGAAAAAAAGTCGCAAAAAGCCACAGCAACAACAACAGCGAGCTGACTCGTTTTTAGAGCGACTGGAAATGTTTGACCCTACTGTTAGTCTCGGCAGCATAGAACCATCTCGAGATCCTTTCGATACTTCCAAATTTAACGTCGCTACATACAAGAACTGGACAATAGACCCGTCTGGAAAGACATTGTTTGTTTGGCTTTTGGTGATTGCCATAGCAGTGTTGTATAACTTGATCTTCATCATTGCAAGGCAGTGTTTCCACCAACTTCATGATAGTTCTCCTGCATTGTGGTTTGTTTTGGACTATTTGTGTGATGTCATTTACGGGCTGGACATTTTTGTTCAGTTTCGAACAGGTAAATATAATCATTTGTTCGCGGAAGCAACTACAGCGGTTTTGTGTAGGCATTACGCCACGGACAAGCAGTGCAACATTGCGCGCAATATTACAGGTAATCGATGTTGCGAGCCATGTCACACGATGATGAAGTAGAAAACGATCCTACTTTAGCAATATTGCCTGCAATATTGCGCGCCAAATATTGCACCGTGTATCCGCGCCTTTAGTCTGTAATTAAACCCAGGATATTAATTGTCGAGGATATACGAAGCAAAGTTTTTCCGCATACAACTTACAAGTGTACGACAAAGGCATTACAAGTTAAAAGTTTTACGAGGAATTCTACGTAGTAACATTCTTACTCTGTGCAAAAGTAATCATTTGTTGCCAGCGGCACCATCGTTGGACAAACCGTGTTTCGCATATAAAAGTCCAACTTCAGTTTATTGTGAACGGTGTTATATACTATCAAATGTTCACCAGGAACAACTGCGCCGTCAACACACCCTTCATGAAACTTGTATCCAACAGAAACAGCATAATAACTTATATATTAACTCAACAAATTTCGTCGAGTGGGAAAATGTAGAGCTAAATTTTAAACTAATAGTGAAAGTCGGCATTTTAAATTTTATTGAATTCCTGCAGATGTGAGGTTGAAGTCACTCGTGAATTCTGAAAAGGAATCGTAGTTTCTAAAGCTTCTTGTCGCTGCCATGCAGGTTGCTCGCATTCGCTGCATTCAGAGTAATTTAGTCTCGATGTATACGTTACTTGTTGATTCCATTTTTCTTTTCTTCTCGTCCTTCAGCTTATCTTGATCAAGGTCTTCTCGTCAGAGATCTGAAAAAGTTACGAAAGAACTACATGCTTAGCAGAATTGACTTCAAACTGGACATCTTATCAATTCTACCGTATGACTTGCTCTATTTTGTCGTTGGTACTGATCAAACTATCGTTCGAATTCCCAGGATTCTACGGCTGTATCGAATCTTAATACTCTTCCAAAAATCCGAAACGAAGACACGGTACCCAAATGTCTTGCGCACGAGTGCTGTAGTGTCAGCCTTTCTTCTCGTGTTTCACTGGAATGCTTGCTTTTATTTTGCTACATCAGAAGCAATAGGTTTTGGCTCTGATAAATGGGTTTACCCCAACCTTACCTCCCCAGGGTATGATAAACTATCTCGTCAGTATTTATACAGTGTTTATTGGTCAGCAAGAATGATGATCACAGGAGAAAACGAAAACCCGCCAGAGACAAACATGGAACTTCTCTTTGTGATTGTAGACTTGACGCTTGGATATCTGACTTTTGCAGCCCTAGTTGGGCAGTTTGGCGCCATCTTAGGACAAATAATGCGCGCGCGAGTTGACTTCCTTAGCGACTCCGACACAATCAAGCAGTATCTTCAAAACAATAATGTTGGGCACGACTTGGAAAACCGAGTTGTCTCTTGGATTGAATATATGTGGCAAACAAAACATTCGTTAGATCATGAACGAGTGCTTCAAAAGCTACCCGAGAAGCTGCGCGCGCAAATTGCGGTATACGTTCACCTTGCGGCGCTCAGACGCGTTCCAATTTTCGCAGACTGCGAGCCAGGACTTCTGCGCGAGATTGTAATTAAACTTAAATCCCAGGTTTACTCTCCTGGTGATTATATCTGCAGAAAAGGAGATGTCGGAAAAGAGATGTACGTAGTCAAAAGCGGTTGTCTTCAAGTCGTGGGGCAAGATGGCCTCACAGTTCTTGCAACGCTCTCGGAGGGAAACTACTTTGGGGAGATTAGTATACTAAATTTAACAGAAATTGGGAATCGTAGGACTGCAGACGTACGTTCGGTCGGTTTTTCTGATCTGTTGTGTTTGTCTAAAGACAATCTGTTGGAAGCTTTAACGGATTATCCTGAAGCACGAACACAGCTGGAGGACAGAGGAAGACAATTACTAAATATACCCAGACAAAAATAATATATTATTTCATCACTTTTAAATTCCTCTTAAGTCCTTGTTTATCAGTTTATTTATTTTTCATATGGAGTCGATCAATCATTGATGCGCATTGCTAGAGCACTAGCTTTTTATAGTAAATCCATTTATTCGTGTAAGGGCTAGCAGGTGTCGCCATGCCGCCTCGAGCGCAATTAACATTAACGAAAGATTTTAACAATACATACTTTATAGATGAAACTATCATAATCTAGCATAATGGATTCTTTATCTTAATTTGAAAAATAAAAACGTGTTTCTCATCAGGAACTGGTAACAGAGTATTAACATGAGGCATGATGTAAAGCAGCTGACGAGAACTATAAGCAAATACGAGGGAATCATGTTGCAAATGTGTATAAGGCCCGGTTCATACATGAAAAGTTCGACGTATGAACCGGGCCTAAGTGTTTTCATAGCCCTTCACAAACATCGTGTGACGAACTGCGGGGGAGACTAGTCCCTTCACTGTGTGTTAACCTTGAATAACACATTTACAGTCACCTGCGCATGGCTAAAAGACCCTCGAGGTGACTTGAAACAAGAGCAATATCCGTTAGGCTTATACTTGAACATTTTTGACGCTCTTTTATAAATGACTTCCCCTTCCCGTTCGAGTTTTTGTGCCTCTGATTGTTCGCATAAGAGATGTGCCCCACTTTTCAATCTTATTCTTTGACAACCAAGGAAACCTAAGTGAAAACTGTTATGATAACTATTCTGTTCAACCCGATCAAAATTAATAAAAGGAACTCGACCATGGTGTGAGGGTGTCTCATTGAATCAATTTTTTTATTTTTTATGAAGTACTCTGATTGTTCTTATTTAAAAAAATCTCCCTTTTTCTAGTTTATTTTAGCTTTTATTATTCATAGTTGAATTATCAGGTAAATGTAAGGTCGACTTCTCACTTATCTTTTAATAATTGAGTAAATTATGTTATCATTTTGATATAACGAGAACTATTAAGAAATTAAATTATGACATAGACAATGCACAAATTGAAAATAGTTTTTATAGAATTATTGAATAGCTATTTATTGGATTTTTTTTCAGTCATATACATATACCAGTTTTTTTGGTTTTATTTATTTATTTTGTTTTGTTTTGGTTTTAATCAAAATGTATTTATTAATTTATTCAATATACAGCTTATATAGTTTTCATAGTTTGTCAATAAAGTTTTCATCATTTTTATATTAAAAATTTAAACGTACCCTCATTCATCATCATCATTTAACCAATTTAATACTAATAACTACCCTCTCGATGTTAAGGGAAAAAAATTGACTAATGAGGGTATTTTCGCAAAACAGCACTAAAAGAGAATTTCTCAAAAATACTCTTATCATATTTTTTAGTAATTGTCTGTTAGCAAGCAAAGGAATGAAAATTAAGAAATTACTGATGATCTAAACAAATAGGTAAATTAGAAGCCATTTACTGCTACTTTGCATGCATATATTATCCCCCGGAAAAAATACATTTATCATTTGTAAAAATCCATTGGGTCATACATAAATGATTTATATAAGAAGGATAATTTAAACAGGCTATACCGGTTTCATAAAAGAAGGAGACTATGAGAGCATCAGTCAGAATTGTTCGAGCGTTGGTACGGATTTGTTACTGAGAGTTTCTGAACTACGATGGAAGTCTTTTCTATCAGTATCATAACAGTTAGATTCATTTTCCTTTCCATGAATCTAATCGGGAATTCTCTGGTTTTACTCATAATTTTCAAGACTAGATCGCTCCAAGGCCCCACTTCGTGTCTATTAAGTAATTTGGCAGTGACCGATCTCTTGTTTGGAGCTATCATCGTCAAACAATACGAACTGAACGAAAAGAAAAGTGAAGAGGTAGATACTTTGAGCAAATGGGGTGTAACAATGGAATTTTATAGTCGCGCAATTTCGAGCTCCTGGACACTGGTAGCCATCGCCATTGAAAGATACCTTGCAGTTATGAAGCCTTTCTACCATCGAGTTCATATCACGAAAAAAAAGATGTGGAGGACTATTCTGATGATGTGGTTCTTTGTTTGTCTCTTGATAGTGCCTAGCTACCTTCTTCAGTTATTATTTCAGATGGATTTCCAGGTACTACACGTCAATACAACTTCCAACTTTACCATAGCGAACAGCACAGTTTCCAGCTATAGTTTGTCTGATTCGAGTAAAAAGTTGATCCTTGGATACGAGTTATTTTTGGTCATCTCGTGCACCGCTGTACCAGCTTCATTCATGGGGTATTTCTATGGTCGGATCATTTACAGCGTTTGGTTTAAACCTGTTTCTCAACAAGGAACCAACACAGGGATCCTCAAAACTCGCCGTAAACTGACCAAACTTTTATTGACTGTAACTGTAATCTTTTATCTTTGTTGGCTGCCTTTATTTGTAATTCTATGGGAGCAAGTAACCGAGGATGTAAAAAAGGTCTGTGTATTGTTTCCTCTTTTTAGTACAACGATAAACCCAATTATCTATAGTCTTCACTCGAAGCCATTTCGCCAAGGAATCAAGTCTCTTTTCGCTTGTTGTTGTAGAAAGAAAAAAGTGTGCGTGGAAAAGATCAGCACTCGAAAGGACGTTGAAGTTTTGGATGAAATGAAGACGGTCTCGAAAATGCGTTGGGCACAACAAAGCCAGATAAGTACCCGAAAAGAAGAGAACAAAAAGAGTACGGCCAGTGTAATATGAGACGCTAATATAACTCTTGATCAAAAAATATAACTGTAGTAACACAAAAATGGTAAACTTTTTCGAAATACGCAATGTGTTAGCACAGTGATCACCATGATGACATTACAAAAAGGAAAAAACAGGACGACGGAAGATATTATTATTGTCTTACCTAAATGCAATCAGACCGTACTCAAAAGTGTCGTGGATAATCATCTAGTCCAACGTGGAAATACAAAGGGAATCACACTTTTCCTCAATGGAAATTGTGGCAATCCTTTTGTATTTCCATGTTAGGCTCGCATTAAAGATAATTTTAAGATGGGTCCATTAGACAATTGCAACCATGGTATTCAAGAAAAACAACATCCACAACACTTAAATATTAATTATGTCCACTCAAATGCATTTTCGTTTGAGAACTGAAGCGTACGCAATACTTTCCAATGTGCCTTTTGGCCTTACGTCCACACTAAATCAATCGATAGCCCATACATTTGAAAACGCCCTCTAGAGTGGAGACATTTGAAAAAAGGCCCATCGTATTAGTGTTAAAAAATTTTAAAATAGGTAGGCATTAAAGCTAAGAGCTTTTGGGGCCGTGGGCCTCCATACACACTCCTTACTACATTCGAATACTTTATACACACAACTTTCAACAGACAGCGAAAACGGAGCTCGAAGCTTTTGAAAACACCGACGTCAATCACACCACCACGCCTTTTTTTTGCATGCGCAGTTGATTACATTGCATCATCGCGCTAAGAAAACGCTGGTGTGGACGTGAAACTAGCTTTCGATGTATTTCAGTTCGAATTGACGAATATACGGAGCGTTTCGAATATTAGAGTGGCATGCCCAATATGTTCAGCATTAAAAAAAAGATCAAATTGTACTTCACGACGAACTTGCCTAGACCCCTCTCCCCAACAAAACACGGATAAGTTAGTTGCTCATATATCTAGACTGATCTAGTATCCTGAACTCATCACTCTTACACTTATATGCCACATCATAGTACTACTCAACGCAGCAACACTGACCAATGGTCGACTTTTTCATTAGCAATTCTAAGTGTCATTTCAATTTGCTCTTCGAAGCAGTCACGAAACCTATATTTGATTTTAAAATTTTATAAGCTAATTAGTTTTTGATTGATAGATATTTTAAGACTGAAGTAGACAATAAGCCGTATGGTTTGCATTTCGGAAATTTACAAATTTCATTTATTTTTTCTTTTCGGTAAAAATTGACAGTAATTACTCATTTGGTCTCTCTTTCATAAACTCATTTTGTCTCGTAAGATATAATGAAACTCCAGGCTATCACAACACTGATTGACAGTAAGTGCTTAGACTGTAGCACTGAGTTTTCGAATGACCGCGGCGCGCGTCGGTGCCATATATGCCTTACCGTGTCCGTGTTGTTTCTAGAATTTTGAAGGGCGTTTCTCCCCTCTCACGATGTGATTATGATCTTTTGGTTCTGTGACCTTGGCATGACCGTGTCCTCACTGTGTCCATGCCGTGTTTGTGCGCACTGATTTGATTGATGTGAGTAAATTCTCGTGCAATATGCCTTGCCGTGCAGTGTCACGACCGGAGTGTCCGTGCGGGGAGATTTTCACAGGGCTGTCAGTTTGTCTTGTAAAGGTAATGAAACCCAAGGCTAACACAAAAATATCAACAAATAAGAATGAATGACATTACAAGTGTTTCGGAGATGACCAGCCGCGTCGTTTCCCGCCAATATATATTTTGCTTCCTGTAGTGTATATTATAGAACAAACAAATAAAATTTAATTTAGCGTCGCTGCGGCTTCATCAATAAATGGCTTTATCAACACTTTTGTACTGTCATCGCAAATTTCAATAAAATCGTGAAATAGGATTTTCTTTGCTAGTCATAATTGAGTCGTTCGGTTTTCCACTGAAGTGACCAATAGCCACGGGAGCAACTCTCTTCTAGTGCCAAAAACTCTTGTAACAGTACCAGTACGCTGCTTTTGGAGTTGAAATTTTAGCTTTTGGAAGCCAAGATTTTATTTGATTCGCATTTTATTCAGGCTATGGAAGTCTTTTATATCTTTCTTAATGCAATTCGTTTTGTTTTCCTTGTGATGAATCTGACGGGAAATTCATTGGTTTTACTTACAATTTCCAAGGTCAAATCCCTTCAAGGTCCTACGACATACTTGATAAATAACTTGGCATATTCAGATCTAGCTTTTGGTTTCGTGCTTGCATTGGGGTATGGATTTTCAAATCTTTACGGCGAAAGCGAATCGAATGTAAAAAGTGAGTCTTCCAGCTCAGGCAAACGCACCTATGGACTCGAGTTTTATTATCATGCCCTTTTGAGCTCCTGGACACTTGTGGCCATCGCAACAGAAAGATATCTTGCAATAGTCAAGCCTTTCTACCATAGAGCTCATGTTACAAAAAAAAAGTTGCGTAATGTGCTTATAATCATGTGGATTCTTGATGCTCTATTTGGAATTGCGGGATATGTAATGCTGCTTTTTTTTCCGGGGCCAAAACAGTTGTTTCATCAAGGCTACCAGTTTCAAGGAAATACGACGTCCAACTTTACTGTATTGTTGAATAGCAGTGTCGCATGGTTTAACAGCAGTGATTCTTTGCAAGAATCTATTGAAACCATGATTCAGTTTGGATACGAGTTATTTTTGGTCATCTCATGCACCGCTGTACCAGCTTCATTCATGGGGTATTTCTATGGTCGGATCATTTACAGCGTTTGGTT